CTAAAATCTATCACTTGCCTGATAATAAATGTTGGAAATGCAAAGAAAATGAAGGAACCTTTTTTCACCTTTGGTGGACGTGCCCAAAGATCAAGGCCTTCTGGGAAATGATATATAATGAATTAAAAAAGGTATTGAAATATACTTTTCTAAAGAAACCAGAGGCCTTCCTCTTGGGCATGGTCGGCCAATTGGTGCGAAGGGAAGATAGAACTTTTTTCATGTATGCGACAGCAGCAGCAAGAATACTCATTGGGAAATACTGGAAGACACAAGAATTGCCTACTCGAGAAGAATGGCAGAGAAAAGTGATAGACTATATGGAACTGGCTGAGATGACCGGCAGAATTCGAGATCAAGAAGAAGGGTCGATGGAAGAAGATTGGAAAAAGTTTAAAACATATCTTCAGAATTACTGTAATATAAAAGAATGTTAGAAAAGGTCGGAGAAGAAATATTAGACCGTATTGGCAGACAGAGTATAATGGAATTAAGTAAATATGAAGTGTAAAATAAAAGATAGAGGAGAATTAAATATTTTTGAATGTTAAAATGTTAAAATAAGTAAATGAAAAGAATGTTTGAAGGATTTGCTGGAGATACAATTTGAATTAGAATACAAAGCAGAGAAGTGAGAGGAAGTCACGGAAATAAGTAAATGAGAAAACGGTTCTAATGGTTTAATTTGAATTTTTCTTTTGTTATTTTTTATTGTGATTTTTTTTTATCTTGTGTATTTTTTCTTGTATTGTGTGTTTATTGGTTTTTCTTGCTTTACTTTTTTCTTTTTCTGTAATCTTAAAATTTGAATAAATATTATAATAATAATTCATATCCAAGTCAAATGGCGAAAAACATAAACGAGACTGGTTGTGTTGGAGTCAAGTTAAGCAATCGCTTTATTGTGTATCTTGTTTTTTGTTCTCTAAGGGGGGGAGTTACGACTAATGTGAGTGCATTAACAGATCATCCAGGATGGAGTACAGAGAAAGGATGGAGAAAATTAAAGGATCACATTCCTAGCCATGAAAATTCTAACTTACATAAAGAAAACTATATTGCGTGGAAAATGTCAAGTAGAGCTGCTCTGTGTGGTTCTGCAGTTGACAATTATGTTTTTGACCAGCTCAAGGCTGGAAGAAAATACTTTAACACATCCTCAACATTATCCTGTTTTTATCAGAGGGAGGTCTCCCTCTTCTTGGTTCTTCTGAACGACTTGGTGATATTCATAATGGTAACTTTTTGGGTTTAGTTGAGCTCCTCAGTAAATACGATTCATTATTAGTGGAACATGTTGCAGAAGTACAAAATGCACAGGAGAATGGTGTAAGACTCCAAGTACACTACCTATCAAGTAGAATTCAAAATGAGTTTATTAAAATTTGTGGATCATTCATCCAGAGGAGTATCATTCAAGAAATACAAGAAGCTAAGTATTTTGCGATTGCAGTTGATGCAACCCCTGATTGCTCTCATCAAGAACAGTTATCATTCATCATCAGATATGTGAGGAGGGAAGCTAAAAGTTTTGCAATTGAAGAGTGCTTTCTTGGTTTTCATGAATTTTCCATAAAGACTGGAGAAGAAATTGCCACTGAAATATTAGACGTCTTAGAGAGGCTCAAATTGAACTTTCAAGACTGTGTGGGTCAAGCATATGACAATGGGTCTAACATGGCTGGAAAGTACGCAGGTGTACATGCTATCCTAAATGGAAAGAATGAGAACTGTATTTTCTATAGCTGTGCCAATCATACTCTGAATCTCATTGGTACCGATTGTGCTGAAGCCTGTAACAAAGCTATTACCTTCTTTGGAACCATTCAGAAAATATTCAATGTCTTCAGTACAAGCCCTTCACGTTGGGAGGTACTGAAGAAAAATGTTCCTCACTTCATTCAGTCTCGAAAACAAGATGGTCAGCAAGAATTGATTGTGTAAAACAAATTGCAAACCATTTTGATGGTATTCGAACTGCAGTATCAGAGATCCGTGAATTAAAAAATGCAATTGCAGAATGTAAAGCTGATCTTTGGGGAATAAAAAAAAATACTTGAACACTTTTGAATATGTTGTAATGTCAAGTATTTGGAGCAAACTTCTCACAATGATACATGAGATAAACTTGGTAATAGAATCACGCAATGCCACACTGGATGTTGAAAGGGACAACATAGATCAACTGCGTACAGACATTTTGAATTTTAGAGAGAAATGGAATAACATATCAGTCAAAATAGGTGTTTCAGATACTTTTATTACTCGCAGGGGATGTCTAACTCAAGAGGATGCTGAAAAAGACTTTAGAGTGAATGTATTCTTCAAAATAATTGACTTTGTTATTGTTGGACTGACACGGCAATTTTCTGCTGTTAGGGAAATATGTGAACTTTTCGATTTTTTGTGGAAGTTACAATACTTCAATAATGACGAACTGATACAAAAATGCACTTGGTTTCACTTGTGATACTCGAACCATATTTCCCGTGATGAAATATAGAGTGAAGTGCTCCTCCTTAAGCAAACTTTCGATACGAATTTCAAACTTAATTCTCCGTCACCGAAAGAAATTGCCGATCAAATACTAAACTTGAATTTGGAAAACATTTTTCCAAATCTTCTAATTGCATTACGCATTTTCTTATCATTACCAGCTACAGTGGCCTTTAGAAAAGTTTCAATATACGAAAACGAATTAAGTCTTTCTTTCGATCAACAATGGCTCAAGAACACCTAAATGGTTTAGCAATGATAAACATAAACCACGATAAGGCGAAGTTGCTTGATTTTTTTCTGCGTAATTCAAGAATTTGCAGAAAAGAAAGCTAGGAAAGCATTTTAAAATGTAAATACTTAAAATAATCCTTTTCCTTATGTATTTTTTAAAAGCACTATTTTATATCTATATTTTCCATTTTGTCTTTATATGTAGATATGGTTCAAGCCGTGAAATAAAATTATTTGTCAGCATAACTTTTGTTAAAATTATTTATATACTTATTTATAAGACTTCAGTTATCCCCAGGGTAAAAAAAAAAAGGGAGAGCACATTATCTACCTGGTCCGGGCCTCTGCCTGGCTTTGCAAGGCCCTGAGGTTAGGCAAGGAGTGAGTAACTGGCTCATCACCCAGTGAGTTTCATGGCTCAGCAGGGATTTGAACCCTGGTCTCCTGGGTCTTAAAAGGTCCAGCACAGGACACTGGCTCTCCCACTTCCGTAGCATACAGGACATCATATGTGTAATTACTGTTACTATTCAGGCCATCTGAGCAATCTGCTGTTGTTGTTGTTTAGTCATTTAGTCGTGTCCAACTCTTTGTGACCCCATGGACCAGAGCACGCCAGGCACTCCTGTCTTCCACTGCCTCCTGCAGCTTGGTCAAACTCACGTTCATAGCTTTGAGAACACTGTCCAACCATCTTGTCCTCTGTCGTCCCCTTCTCCTTGTACCTTCCATCTTTCCCAACATCAAGGTCTTTTCCAGGGAGTCTTCTCTTCTCATGAGGTGGCCAAAGTATTGGCGCCTCAGCTTCGCGATCTGTCCTTCCAGTGAGCACTCAGGGCTGATTTCCTTAAGAATGGATAGGTTTGATCTTCTTGCAGTCCATGGGACTCTCAAGAGTCTCCTCCAGCAGCATAATTCAAAAGCATCAATTCTTTGGCGATCAGCCTTCTTTATGGTCCAGCTCTCACTTCCATACATCACTACTGGGAAAACCATAGCTTTAACTATACGGAGCAATCTGTCTGCTGCAAAAATGGGAGAGATTTCACAAATTGTACACTCACTGGAATTTACTGCATTCTGTTTGTTGGAAAAGCAGAAAGAAGCCTTGTGTGTTCCTGTACTTCACTGCCTTATATACTGTGGTGAAGCACCCCTTTAGCTTTCAAAGCCATTCAGATCCTTTGGACAGGTATGTTTTTCAGCTGACTTCCATTGCATGAATATTTGCACTATAGGTGGGTGATTTTTGTTGGAGCAGGGGCATGGGCTGTCACTGCAGCTCATGTGCATGCAGTTGTAGAAAAGAATTATCTTGTGATCCTGTTGGTCAGTAGAAGAAACAGTGTGTTGGCTATTTAGATAGTGAAAGAAGGGCTGGAAATGATGTTGCACAAGTATTTATTTTTTAAAAAACACAGTATTAAATATCTGGAGGGGTAGAAAGGAGCACGTATTTGCGACTTTGCATGTGCATGAAGCATTCATTATTCTGCAACTAAACAGAGACACCTGCTGGAGCAACTACAGAACTTCAGTGATGTCTGTCCAAGGAAGAGGAATATAAGGGCTAATTATTAGTTTAAATGAAAACAGAAAACTTCGTAGCAGCTTAGCAATTGGATAGTTTTTTGAATAAGGCACATTCTCTCCCAACTACCCTCTCTTTTGTTTCCTTCATCGTTCTCGAGCAGATCTTTGCCGCAGGGACACCCAGATTCATATCCCCGCACGCACCCTTTCTCCCCAGCCCCCGACAGCCACTCTTTGCAGAATAAAGGTGTCTGGGCAGCCATGTTGCTGTTCTTCTGCTAACAACCTCGCAAGTTCAAGCGCATACAGCCAGCCCGCTTTCGTTGGGTAACTTTCAACTTCTTCCAACTTCTTGTCATATTGTACCAGATGGTTGTGCAGTGGTGATTGGGAGCCATTAGGCGGCGCTGTTTCTGTGCAGAAAGGCGCTTAAAACATCAGTAGCTAGTTGTTAAGCCGCTTGTATTTTGATTCATTAGTGCATTTAGATATATAGATCATAGATGTCAACGTTTCTCCCTTATTCCAAATAGGATTCCTCGCAAGAAAAGGGAAAAGTTGACAGCTATGATATAGATACTGTATAGAGCTGTGAGCGGGGTGGTTTATAGTTTGCAGGGGACTGTCACTCAGGCGATGCTTTGCCTGCATATGTAAAACATAAGCGCCAGTTTTGCAAACACGTTTGTGCCTCTCTCGAGCTTGTCTCTGCTGCGTCAAGCGCGAGATAACGCTGAATGTGCCCTTGCAAAAAGCTCGCCACAACCTTCTTGCAGGTAATTTGGCGGGAATTCTCCTATTTTTAAAGAAGAATAAAAGGCTGGGACGCATTTGACGTAATGACGTGCAGAAAGAAAAATCTGCTTCCCGATGTATTGTGGGAACTGTAGTCCGGGAGTTTGAGATGATCTGAGAACAGGGAAGAGCTGACCTGCTTCAGAATTGCAGTTGCGAGGGAAAGCAGCAGATCTGTTTTATTAATTTGGTTCGTGCAGTATCTAATAAGGACTGGAATTGTTCTTGTTGCTTCTGCCGCCCACGCTCGCAGGAAAGGATAGAGAAGTCTAGCCTGCCTGACTAAATGGCAGAATAAGTGGGGTGGGTTGTATCTGTGATCAGATTTGCCACAAGTCTGATTGATTCTGGTCTTGTGTCTGCTTTTTTCTATGTTTTCATACTGTGTGCAGACTAAATTGGAGCTGGCATGGCTTGTTACTTTTGGACTAAACACTCAAAGACAGGCTATCAGCTCCGTGTCTAAGAGGTCATTATAGTTTGGAGAATATGACTAGTCCCAAAGTCTTCTGCTTTTTATTAAAATGAAATGAAAACAAGTGTTTGTTTTTGTTTTTGAAAATAGCTCAATACAGAAGACGAGGCAATGCAGGTATGTTTTTTTAATACCATATTGTTATAAAAAAATTACACCCACTTATTTTATATCTGAGCCTCTTCTCAAGGGCCTCTTCCAAAAGCTTGACATTGTGACACTTCCCCTTTTTAGTTTTGTATAGGGAATACACAGGAGTGGAGTTGATGTGGGACTAGGCTCTCACACCAATTTCCCCAGCACTATTTAGCAGCTATGGAGCCTGGAGTGGGCGCTACTCCACAAGGGGCAGCTACTTGTGAAAGCCCACTGCTGTAGTCCGTTGCTGCCTTTTCTCAGCCCTTTGCACTGCTCTTCAGCAAAATAGAAATAGAAATGGAGAATTAGGCTAGAGCAGGGGTCACCAAACTTTTTCAGCAGGGGGCCGGTCCACTGTCCCTCAGACCTTGTGGGGGGCCGGACTATATTTTTAAAAATATAAATACTATGCAAGCCGGTCCCACAGCTGCCTCTGGACCTGGAAGAGGAACGCACTCTGCACATGCTCAGGAGCGTGTCTCTGTGCCATCCGCTCACCGGCGTTGTTGATGAGCAGCAGCCGCTCTATCAGCCCGTCCCCGCGGAGCTCCCAGGCGGTGTGACCACGCACTGTAGCCCATCGTCCGAGGCCAAGTCAGCGGGCAGGCTGCACATGTGGAGCGCCGGAAAGGCGACGCGCAGCTTGCCCTCCAGCTCACCAGCACACCAGCAGCAGTGAGCCAGGCGCGGGGCCAGCAGGCACACCAAGCTCCGGCTGAAGCCCTGTGATGTGCCCATCACGATGCTCATGGTGCGGTCCAGACCCGCCGCCTGCCCACCAGCCTCTGCGTCCATGGCCACACCAGCTTTACCTTAGTGCGCGGGCGGCGAGGCTTCGGATTGCCTGCAGAAGCTGCCTGCAGCCAATGCGAACTATGCAGCGTTGTGGAAGTCAGTCCCCAAGTGGTGAGGCGTCCGCGGTTTCTTTTCAAGGAAATGCCGCACAAGTTTAGCTCAGCAGGGACTGACCGAGCGGGCGGCAGGGTCCACGGGCCGGATTTACGAGCTTGCTGGGCCTCATCCAGCCCCCAGACCATAGTTTGCCGACCCCTGGGCTAGAGCGACATCTATCATGCCATTGTGCATGGTTATTGGAATATGCTGCATAGTGTAAATACAAGATAATTCATTCATTCCCAAACTATAGTTTAAACACTGAGTTCAGATGTCACAAAGAATTGTGGTTAGTTTTAAATCAAAATCAGTTACTACTCACAGATGTAGGGGACAGAAGAATGTCTATATGTGTAGGCCCGAAGCTTGCTGCAGCTTATTCTCATTCTGGGAAATCACTGCTTCCCATTGATTACATCTGCACCACGTAAATGATTTATTTCTCATATAGCAGTCTCAGTCCAGTAAACTATGTGTAATTGGACTGAGATTTAGCACTGTATCCATGTGCTCTTTCTTTCACAACTGTAACATAAAAATTACGAGGTTCGTTAAGTTTCCTGGTTTCATGACCTGATTTGTAGTCGGAGATTAAACCACAGTTTTCTGATTCATGCATATTGGAAAATAGGTTTTGCATTATGGCATACAAAAAGGGGATCTTCATCCAGCAAACCATAGTACATTGGACTAAAATAATATATGTGAACCAGACTCAGCATGCAGTTAGTGCTATATTGTAACCTTTGCCCTCTGCACTATAGTAAAGCCCAAACCTATGGCAGCTTTCATTTTCTATATTGTATTTCTGTGAAAGCTTTTTTTTTAAGCAAATTATTTTCTTTTCTGCAGCCACTAAGACGATTGATGAGAATAGCTGCTGTGAGTAGCTCTCCCTTTTTCTTTTATTCCACTGCATATTTCCACAATGTTAATGCTGATATGACCAGAGAGCATCCAACCTACTAAGAAATGGCATCTACAAAGCAAAGAGCCATTCCTCGTAGGGTGTCTCATGAGAGCAAATGCAAAATATGGTTAAGAATATAAGCTGTGAACTTGCAGTTCTTTTGCTTCAAAGCTCACCTCAGCCAACTCAACAGGTGTCCCTCAGTCAGAAACATGCTTCATAAAGAATACAGGGCTGATATCACTCCTTTCACAATATTCACTTCAACTGATGCTGTGCTGTGTGCTTACTGACACCCTCTAGTGGCGCCAGGGAGACAAAACCACAGCAGGAAAATGTACAGTAGGATCACAGATTGCATGCATTTAATTTGCACAACCACAGCTTTGCACGCTTGGCCATGAGCCAGCTGATATCACAAATTAAACACACACAAGGTGGAGAACCTAAAAGCTCGTAGACCTGCTTTCTGGGCTCTGGGAAGGTCTTGCACTGTCTCTGGAGCCCTTTGCAAGTCTGGATTCCAAGCTTTATATTACACATGCAAAATTGAATGTTGCTTGTTTTAAATAATTTATTCTGGTTCTGCTAGTTAAAGAAGAGGCAAAAAATGGTTTGTGGCCACTGATAAGAAAAATATTCCTAAACCCATCACTGGCTTCTGAGATTTTACTAGACACCACCAATGTGGAATCATATATATATATTTTAAAAATAATATTTATTAATTTTTCAACAGTTTAAACACAACCCTACAGAAAACCCAAAAAAACAACAATACAATACAATACAAAAAACACTACAAAACACTAACACAAACAACTAACAAAACAAAACAAAAACCATTTAAAACACAATCCAATTTCAATATCTTATCTTTCATTCACTTATTTCCACGACCTCCTCACACCTCCCCTTTGTATTCCACTTCTATTAATTGTTTCAGCAATTCCTTTCCATCTTCCTCTGTTTTCTATCCTATAATTATCTTAACACATTCTAACCTTATTTTTCCCTTTAATACTGTATTAATCTATCTATACTTAATTCCTTATAACATTTCTACTAAAGCCATATAACTTCATTCCAACATTTTTCTAACATTCATTAATTTTATAGTATTTCTGTAAATAGTCTTTAAAGTTTTTCCAGTCTTCTTCCACCGATTCTTCTCCCTGGTCTCGGATTCTGCCAGTCATTTCCGCCAGCTCCATATAGTCCATCAACTTCATCTGCCATTCTTCCTGGATGGGTAAATCTTGTGTCTTCCCAATGTGGAATCATATATAGTGTACCTCGGGTTACATATACTTCAGGTTACAGACTCCCTAATCCAGAAATAGTACCTCTGGTTAAGAACTTTGCTTCAGGATGAGAGCAGAAATCGTGCAGCGGCGGCACAACGGCAGCAGGAGGCCCCATTAGCTAAAGTGGTGCTTCAGGTTAAGAACAGTTTCCGGTTAAGTACTGACCTCCAGAACGAATTAAGTACGTAACGAGAGGTACCACTGTATTTGAAACCAAGGAGGTTGAAACTTGGTTGTTGTTGTTGTTTTTGAAGTGAAAGCCACAGGCATTTTGAGCCTGTTAGAATAACCTGAAGAACTAGGACAACTGTGTTCATTTCATGGTGTTTCTTACCCATGTCTGTTCTTCCCTTGCAGAAGGCGGCTGCCAGAGCAAAACAAGAGGCCGAGCCGCAACTGGCAGCAGCCCCTAAGGTAAATGCTATAAAAAAATTTGTGTGTTTTAAAAACATAGAATAATTGTGATTTTGCATCCATATAATTGCTTAGTGTTTCGGTGAAGGATCAGACTGAAAATCTTAGCAGTTTTCTGAGGCAATCACAGCTCTTCTGCAGTTGGAACAAAGCCTGGCCTAAACGGGTCTATCCAGAAGTAATGGCATCTACAAAGCAAAGAGCCATTCCTCGTAGGGTGTCTCATGAGAGCAAATGCAAAGTGTGGTTAAGAATATAAGCTGTGAGCAATTCTTTTGCTTCAGATCTCACCTCAGCCAACTCAACAGGTGTCCCTCAGTCAGAAACACGCTTCATAAAGAATATAGGGCTGATATCACTCCTTTCACAATATTCACTTCAACTGATGTCACTGTGCTGTGTGCTTCCTGACACCCTCTAGTGGCGCCAGGGAGACAAAACCACAGCAGGAAAATGTACAGTAGGATCACAGATTGCATGCATTTAATTTGCACAACCACAGCTTTGCATGCTTGGCCATGAGCCAGCTGATATCACAAATTAAACACACACAAGGTGGAGAACCTAAAAGCTCGTAGACCTGCTTTCTGGGCTCTGGGAAGGTCTTGCACTGTCTCTGGAGCCCTTTGCGAGTCTTGATTCCAAGCTTTATATTACACATGCAAAATTGAATGTTGCTTGTTTTAAATAATTTATTCTGCTTCTGGTAGTTAAAGGAGGGGCAAAAAATGGTTTGTGGCCACTGATAAGAAAAATATTCCTAAACCCATCACTGGCTTCTGAGATTTTACTAGACACCACCCACATGGAATCATGCCTGTTCTTCCCTTGCAGAAAGCGGCTGCCAGATCAAAACAAGAGGCTTAACCACAACTGGCAACAGCACCTAAGGTAAATGCTATAAAAAGTTTTGTGTGTTTTATTTTTATTTTTCTCATTTTTTAAAAAAAATATTTTCACAAAATTAAAAAACACACTAACAAATAAACAGACAAACGTATCCTTATTAAAACTGATCTTCTTAACATTGTTAAGTGACTTCCTCCTATCCCCCTTGTTGAATTTCAGTGGATATCATTTTAACGGTTTTCCAAATCAAAGTTCTTAAAATCTTAACTTAATCACTTAACCTCAGTCTTTCTTCCCAATTCAGCCTTAAACATAATAATTACTCATATTACTTATTTAAATCCTAAGCCTAACTGGTAATTGCAAGCTTTTCCCAATTAATTTAACTTGATGTATTTAACTAAGTAGTCATTAAATTTCGTCCATTCTTCCTGATACTCCTCATTCTGATCGCGGACTCTTCCGGTCAGGTCGGCTAGCTCCCAAAAGTCCATCATCTTCATCTGCCATTCTTCCACAGTTGATAGTTCTTGCGTTTTCCACTTCTTAGCTAGTAATATTCAAGCAGCAGTTGTGGCATACAGAAATAATTTGGCATCTTTCTTGGGCAATTCCAAACCTGTTATTCCAAGGAGAAAGGCCTCTGGTTTCTTTATAAATGTATATTTCAACATTTTTTTCAGTTCATTATAAATCTTTTCCCAGAAGTCTTTCACCTTGGGGCAGGTCCACCACATGTGATAAAAGGTTCCTTCTTTTTCTTTACATTTCCAACATAAGTTATCACAGTTATGATAAATCTTTGCTAGTTTAACAGGGGTCAAATACCATCTATACATCATTTTCATTATATTCTCCTTTAACATTGTACATGCAGTGAACTTAACCCCTTTCTTCCACAAGCTTTCCCAATCCTCAAAAATTATGTTATGTCCTACATCTCTTGCCCAATCTGTCATTACTGATTTAACTTGTTCATCCTTTGTATGCCACTCCAACAGTAACTTATATATTTTAGACAGATTTTTAGCTTTAGAATCCAACAGCTCCATCTCCAACTTAGATTTTTCAGAAGCAGAACCAGTTTTCTTATCTAATTTATACAATTCATTAATCTGGTGTAGTGTAACCAATTTAGAAAAGACCGGAACCTACTCTGTCCCTTGACCTTATTTGCCTACCTGCAATTCCTGGTTGCTTGTGGCAACAGAGCAGTGCTTGAATACAGGTCTTGCTCAAACTGATCTTTAGATAGTTCAGCTATGCTGGAACCTGCCATTGTGGGCATAATCTGCTCAGCTCCCACCCACCCACTTTAATGGTTATGAATGCGCAGTAGTCTTTGGGGTGGCTTCAATCTGGAACTTGGCTCCTCTATTTTGTGGAAAAGAGGGCAGAAGAGGACAAGTGCAAGTCTCCTTTCACTATATCTATCAGACTTCCAAGTTAAATTTAGTGTTTAGTTTTTAAAAAATTAGGCCATGGATTGTCACAGTGTTCACTAGATGCTCAGTTTTTAAGTAGGCCCTCAAATAACCAGCTTTAATTTTCTATATTATATTTGTGTGAAAGTTTTTTTTAGCAAATTGCTTTTCTTTTCTGCAGCCACTGAGATGATTAACAGTGTGCAAGAGATGCCAGTAATAAAGATAGACCAAAAGTACAATCTAATTGAATCTAGGTTTGCTATCATGACTTTAAACTGAAGTATCAGCTCAGCAAGGAATAGCATTAGATTGGCATGCTTGGTTCTGATTTTCCAGGGTGCTATAGTGAAATCTGCTGTCTTGCAGATCACATACTGATCCAAATGGGTCAGTAAACAGCAAATCTTGACAGCCTGTTAACACTATGATACTGAATAAAGCCTGCAGAAAACTTTGTTGGACTTCTACATAAAGGGCAAAATAGGATTCTGAAGCATTTAGTTCTGAAATGACTTTTGAATTCATATAGACATCTATTTATTAGGTTTTGTTACATATTCTGATGACAAAAACATGAGTTTCCCTGCTGGGCAGCATGTAAACCTGTTTTTCAACTACTGTACGATAGACTTTTGCACAAGAAAACTTATAAATAATCCTACCCACAGTATGAAGTGGTACAGTCTATTTTCCACATCAGAATTCTACCACTTACTTTTGCTGCATCTTCATTTCAGTTGCTGTGACTTGAACCAACAGAAAAACAAATAAGATCATTGTTTTTGTGATTGTCATAATTTAATGCCACCTGGAAAGAATCGTTGTGATGGGCAGCTATTGACTTTTCTTCAGATATAATCCTTTGTTTTGTAGATCATGCAAGATTTTGAATTTTTAACCTTGTTATGTGCTAAATGGTTTTTTTATGCAGGGAAGTCTGAAATAATGGTGATAATAGTATCGTAAAACAAATGTGTCAGACATTCCTGAGGCTTGTGGGTTGCTTTAGTAAAAGAGCTGAGATATTTTCATGAAAAATTCTAGGAAGCTTGAAATCTTGTAACCCAAATGAATATCTATTTTGGCACATTTCAGAGAATAATAATAATAATCATCATTTTTTTAATGCAATACAAAAAACACCTTTTTCAAAAAAATAAAAATAAAAAGAACCTGATTAACTAAATATACTCATTGTTTGAAATTTTGCTAAATTTACCTTAATAAAAAAGAAAAGATCCATTGAAAAATTCATTGTGGCTTGTTAATGTTGGAACAACATATTTCTGCAGATACTGTGCTTATCTGCTCTTCTGTCAATTGGGAAGGTGCATAGTATGCCCAGTGCAGCTGAGCACCTGGGTTTTTTTGGGAACATGACAAGGTTGGGCCTGAGACCATGTTCCCTCACCCATCATCTTCTATACGAAGGGAAAGAGGCCTGGGATTATATCATCCTGTTATGCTTCTGTTCTTTCACAGCAGCCCCACTTGAGGCACTGCCCACTGCTCACATGACATGTGTCAACTTGCACCATCTTGGTCCTGGTTCTGAATTCATGAAGTGTATTGTACGAATTCAGCTAAACATGGCATAACTAAATAACACTTTCCATTAAAATTGGGCACTGGGAGGGAGGGGAACATAGTTATGCTTTGGGGGATGGGAAAATGGGAATTGTAATTCTGTTAGTGGTCAACTACATTTTGAGGGAAAGAATGCTTCAAAGATAAGCGCAACTGTACAAAATAAATCCTATCACCAAAATAAATTGAAATAAATAAGTGCAACTATAGTGATATTGGAAGGGGCATGTAGTTGAGGCAGCAATTGACTCTGGTATCAAGAAAACAAATGATGAAGGTGTGGCTATAGTGGAGACTTGGGGCAGGTTGTGTTGACACTAAATAAATTACAGGAAATTTTAAAGGTCCACACTGCTCTGACCACCTATCAGCTCCTCAGTCGCCGCCAGTGGCCGCCAATCACACTCTCGCTTGCTGCGACAAGGACAGCTGTCTATTGGCTGCCGCAGTAGCAAGCAAGAGGGCTAACGGCGGTGATCAGGCAGCTGAGACGTGAGGGGTTGTGTGCTGCGTTCTGGCAGGTGAGCGATTTTCGGGATCCCCCCCCCCAAACAATCAAGCAGCCAATGCCAAAAATCGCTCACCAGCCGGAACAAAGCGCGAGCCCAAGTTTTTAAGCAGTGATTGGCCACTTGATTGTTGGGGGAGGGGGAGAGATGTCGAAAATTGCTCACCCGTCGGAACGAAGTGCGAGCCCGAGATTGTAAGTGGCAATTGTAAGCAACGTGAGTGGTTGTGTGCTGCATTCCGGCAGGTGAGTGATTTTCGGCATCCCCCTGCCCCTCAACAATCAAGAGGCCAGTCACCACTTACAATCTTGGGCTCGTGCCAAAAAACCATTCGTGCGTCCCCCCTCAGCACTATCCGTGTATAAGACGAGCCTAAATTTTGAACCTCATTTTTGGGTCAGAAAAGCTCATCTTATACATGGGAAAATACTGTAACCCTGATTTTAAAATGAAGTCCAGCGAAAAGGTCCTGTGTGAGGGTCTGGAGGTGGTTGGAGGATGCATGGCAGCTAACAGATTGAGGTTGAATCCTGACAAGACAGAAGTACTGTTTTTGGGGGACAGGGGGCGGGCGGGTGTGGGCGATTCCCTGGTCCTGAATAGGGTAACTGTGTCCCTAAAGGACCAGGTACGCAGTCTGGGAGTCATTCTGGACTCACAGCTGTCCATGGAGGCGAAGGTCAATTCTGTGTCCAGGGTAGCTGTTTATCAGCTCCATCTGGTACGCAGGCTGAGACCCTACCTGCCCGTGGACTGTCTCACCAGAGTGGTGCAGAGTGGTGCATGTTCTAGTTATCTCCCACTTGGACTACTGCAATGCACTCTATGTGGGGCTACCTTTGAAGGTGACCTGGAAACTACAACTAATCCAGAATGCGGCAGCTAGACTGGTGACTGGGGGCGGCCGCCGAGACCACATAACACCGGTCTTGAAAGACCTACATTGGCTCCCAGTACGTTTCCGAGCACAATTCAAAGTGTTGGTGCTGACCTTTAAAGCCCTAAATGGCCTCGGTCCAGTATACCTGAAGGAGCGTCTCCACCTCCATCGTTCTGGCGGTTCCCTCGCTACGAGAAGCCAAGTTACAGGGAACCAGGCAGAGGGCCTTCTCGGTAGTGGCACCTGCCCTGTGGAATGCCCTCCCACCAGATGTCAAAGAGAAAAATAACTACCAAACTTTTAGAAGACATCTGAAGGCAGCCCTATTTAGGGAAGCTTTTAATGTTTAATAGGTTATTGTATTTTAGTGTTCTGTTGGAAGCTGCCCAGAGTGGCTGGGGAAACCCAGCCAGATGGGCAGGGTATAAATAATAAATTGTTGTTGTTGTTGTTGTTGTTGTTGTTGTTGTTGTTGTTGTTGTTATTAAAGGAGCAGGGCAGCCTACTAATGTAACATTTTCAGCAATCATCCCCATCATTTAGCTGATGCTGTATGAGAACCTTCTTCTTAAGAAACATGTTGCCTTTAAACTAGACCTAAGGGGATGCTACATTAAGAGTGCTGCCCCACCCCATAACAAAACAGATGTTTCACCTTTGTACGATTTTTAATTCTTTTTTTATTTTATTTATTTTTTTATAACAAATAGGAGCCTACACAACACAACACACTGTTGCTGTATGTAGGTTTTATTTTATTTGTTTTTTTTATCTTATATTTTGGAAATGTACATCCAGGATTTTTTCCCTTTCATTTTTTTGGGGGCCCCCAAGAGAGGGGGCACGATTTTTAATTCTATGTCACTTTAGGAAAATAACATTTTTTAATCAAATTGAAGAACTTATATGTATGTGTTGGGCTATGTTATTCTCTTTCATATTACATTTCTGGAATGAAGCTGTAACAGCTGATCTTTGCATTTACAGTTTCCAAATGTATGCATATTCACATAAACAAGCCTGCAGATTAATGCAGGATGAGTGACTTTTGGTATCAACAGCATGAAAAAGCACACACAACCTCAAATCTGCTTTACTTTGAGAAGGCAAGATCAGGCTTGTTCAGATCATTCCAACCATCTGTTTCTGAGCAGACAGCTGCTGCCCCTGTGAAGATAATCTACGAAGACTCCTATCATTTATTCATCCCAGCGCCCTCAGAAACATCAGCACATCTGATGACCATATGACTAGCAATAACATTTTACATGGCACTAAGTATAAGGCAAGCTGAATAGATGCAAAAGGTTACCAGGGAAGACAATAGTTGCTATGCTTAGTTTTGAAAAACAAAGAGCAGTAGTGTTCAGAAGCCAAAACTTTATTAATTGTACCAGGCATTTGTATGGTTTTTGGTGCATGTGATAGTGAAATTGAAAAGGAATCATTTTTCTAGAGCCTGTATCACATCTTGTGCATTTTCAACAAGCCATTGCTTGAAATGCAATGTTGTCCTTCACAATTTGTATAGTGCTTTTTGTACAACAAGGCCAGGGCTATCAAGTTTACCCAAGCATCAAAACCAAACTGAACTTTATGTTTACTGTTTTTATGTGAATTCCTCTAGCTTTATTCTACAGTGGAGGGGAAAATGTTAAATCAGAAGCTATCCTTATGTACCAAAGATTCCCAAGAACTGCAGAATCATGTGTTCTTACATATTAAAAAACAACAACCCAAGAATAGCTTGCACATCTAGAAGAAGCCCAGTAAACTAGCATGTCAGGAACCCTTCCTAACATACTACTTTCCTGTGTGCAGAGGAAGGATCACAGTGGCATAAGCCAGATAGTAATGTGATTGTGGAACTCAATATGTTCCAAATAAAGGAAATGCAGAGCCATGACAATAGCCTTAAAATGGGCAAACAGAACTATTAGGATAATTAATGCCAGGGATAGCAGTAGGACCTTCTATGGCTTAACGTACAGTGGTACCTTGGGTTACAAACGCTTCAGGTTACATACGCTTCAGGTTACAGAATCCGCTAACCCAGAAATAGTACTTCGGGTTAAGAACTTTGCTTCAGGGTGAGAACAGAAATCGCGCAGTGGCGGCGCAGCAGCAGCTGGAGGCCCCATTAGCTAAAGTGGTGCTTCAGTTTCAGGTTAAGAATGGACCTCCGGAACGAATTAAGTACGTAACCAGAGGTACCACTGTAATTGTTTCTTGGCTTTTTGAAGTGATTTTGAGTTATCATATGGCACTGCATTTAATAATGGTTTCATTTACTGCTGTTATATTAGTGTTACTTAATACTATTGGTCATTTTTCTGTTTAATTACGTCCTTGTAAGTCCTTGAGCCTGGTTCAGAAGCTCCAGCTGGTGCAGAATGTGGTGGCCAGACTGCTGGCATTGACACAATTGCTGAAACAGCTGCATGGGTTGCCCAGTTACTACCCAGCCAGGTTCAAGGTTCTTGTATTAATTTACAAAGCCCTGAACAACATAGGCTCAGTAATTGCCTCAAACCTTATATCCCAGCTTGATCACTGAGAGTGTCGTTGGTCATCCCCCAGGTTGTTGAGGCTTAACTGGTAACATGAAACCGAGTCATTAGTGCCATTGGCCCGGTCCCCTGCAACACTACCTTCCATGCCAATTTTTAAACACCTGCTGAAATCTTTAATATTCTGCCAGGTCTATGCAGCCAATTAACAATATATTGTTACACAATGGTTAATTGATGCCTGTTTTTTAAAAAACTTTTTATGGTTTTCATTGTACGGTTTGATGTGTATGGGTTGTTAGGGATGGGGTGGTACCTCTGCTGGGGGATGCATCGTGCTCCTACTGAAATAGTTTGTCTACCTTTGGCCCCCAGTTTGCACTTAGCTCTCACTTGTGGCTCCTAGAAGCTGTCAGTTTGCAATAGCGACTATACCCCAGGAACAGCTTCAACTGGCCGGCTAAACCAGGTGAGGGTAGCTAGTGGGTCTTAAATCCTTGGTGAGTTAGGGAGATGGTTTGAGATCCACTGGCTAGGTGAGGGTAGCCAGTGGGAACCACCTAACTGTGAACCACTGTTGTGTTGCCTCAGTAATGGAGTAGAGAAGAGCCAACAAACTGAATCCAAATCCAGATAAAATTGAGGTTCCCTAGGCCAGATGGATGGGAGGTTGCCTGTTCTTGATGGGGTCACACTTCCTCTGAAGATGCAGATATGTAGCCTGGGGGTACTTTTGCTGTGGCCTTGGTGGCACAGAGTGCCTTCCGTCAGCTTTGACAGCTGGCCCAGCTGTGCCAAAGGGATAGCCTAGCTTCTGTTGATTATGCTCTGGTAACCTCTAGGTTAGATTACTACAATGTGTCTGAAGACAGCTGGGAAACTTCTGCTGGTGCAGATTTCAGTGGCCATGTTGCTCACTAGGGCAAAACAGTTTGAGTATATAATGCCAATCCTGGCTCAACTGGCTGCCAATTACATTCTGAGCCCAATACAAAGTGACCTATAAGGCCTTAAACAGCTGAGGACTGCAATACCTCAAGAACCTATCTTGGACCCTGTGGCCATCATCTGAGGCCCTTCTTCATGTTCTGGGTGGCAACATGAGATGGGCCTTTTCTGTGGTGGCTCTTTGTGGAATGATCTGCCCAGGGAGGTTCACTTGGTACCTTCATTGCATATCTTTAGGCACCTGGCAAAAACATGCCTCTTCTCCCAGACCTTTGGCTAATTAAACAATCTATGGCCTTTTAAACTGTGTGTGTGAGAGAGGGGGTGGGGGTATTATTGTTATTGTTTGTTACTACTTTATATATTTTTGTGTTTTTATATTGTAAACAGTCCATTGATCCTTGGATAAAGGGATGGTATAGAAAGCATGCAAGCAAGCAAATAAATCAATCCTAATTATTGGCTAAATGAAATTAAACATTTCGAGTAAATAGAGCAGAACAAGGAACTACATTAGGCTAGATATGCACTGAAAGGACAGGTTAAAAGCACTGCATTTGCATAAACAGGTTTGGGGTGTGACGGTATACGTACTACTGCACATCCAATTCTCCTGCTTGAATGAATAATGGGAAAAGGCCTAGCAGGTTGCACAGCTCTCTCATAACAACATTTCAGTTCCTTGTTTCCACCCATTTTATTTTAACCTTAAGATCAGCATTGCACCGTATCAAGCTTGAATCCATTTTGTCCCAGCTCTTTGCACCAGAAACCTTAAGAGTTTCATCAGAGTCTTGGCTGAGCTTAGGATCTAGGGTTTTCATTCATTATTATAGCATTGGCTGACAAAGAGCCCATTACATCACCCATTTGGAACAGAAAGCCTTTGCAGCTGCTTGTACGGTGAGATGGGGATTTGGGTTAGTATCATAATTATTTTTAAATAAAACATTTTTTTTGTTTCATTCTTCCAGGGCAATTTTCTCTGTAAATTGTTAAGAACTGTATGCTAAAGAGCTTCTGGAGGAGGGCAAAGGGAAGGAACAGAATAAAGCAGTTTTATCCTTTCTCTCTTGATTTCCCGTAAAAAAGACCTAAGGGGAAGAAATAGCCCCATTACCCTGCATATCTTCTAGTTACTGTAGTGAAGCATGAAAAGCAAAGCACACTGTCATAGTAATGGCAGATGGTATTAAAAAAGAATGACGTGGGTCAGGCTCAGAAATGTTTGTTCCATTTCTGACCTCAGAATGAGCGTGGTCCTAATTAGTCCAAAAGAAGTGTGCAATTAAACTGATGGTAAGAGAAATGAGTGCTTTTCCTCTACTAGCTGATTTAGAGTACCAGCAATTTATTTATTTGCAGACAAATGGGATGGAGTGCTTGTGGCTTGCATCCTGTTCCCTCTGGTTGAGTATCTGGGGCTATATATAATACGAATATTTCACATATTTCACATTTAGTGAAGAAGAGCTTTCTGCCCTCAACCCACAGCATGTCTGATAGTGCCAGTACCTTGAAATAACACTTCCATTTTGAGTAGTCTAATCAAAACTCTAGCATTCACAGGGGAAATGACCGACAGCTGTACATTTTACCAGCTTGGGTTTTATTTTGTGCAGAACAGAAAATAGAGGCACAAGGATGAATTAAATGAGAAGCATGTGGAAAGGAAATGGGTTTCAGGGGGCGCCTGAATTCTAAAGTTAGGGTTTTTTATTTTTTAAAAAACACCATTGCATCTCATTTGGCACTGTTATAATATTTAACTTCATTAGACTTCTGCTTACTGTTAACTTTCAGCCTTTGTGCCAAGTTCATTCCATCCACTGTCAAGTTCTGTGAGGAGGTTTACACTTCGAATCCTTCCCTCTGCCATTTTTAATAGGAACAAGAATCATTTAAAAGAATGGATTTGGAAGGAATGAAAGCTGAAGGTGATCTGCCAGAGAAATAGCACAAGACGCATTCTCAGAAGCCAAATAGGACTGTGTCACACAAGAGATAATGTGTATGTGTTCTAGGCTGCCACAAACAGTGCCAATTAAATATCATTTAGCTTGAAACCCATCCCCACCCCCCAAAAGGAAAATAGGGGTGGAGTGGGGAGATTGAAAACGCAGCCAACCAGTGGACTGCCCCATCTATCCTAGTCAAGTATATGGAGAGGAGAAAAGCTCCATAGGATACCAGTAGTTTTCCGCATCCTGGAGGGAGGCTCCCATTCACATCTATTTAAAGCTTTTAGTGGGGGCTGTGTTGGCTCCTGGTAATTTAAGGTACAGTATCAGGACTTGCCGATCAGAAGGTCGGCGGTTCGAATCCCGTTGCTCAGTCCCTGCTCCTGCCAACCCGGCTCCCTCAGCCTGAAAGCGAGATGAGCGCCTCAACCACATAGTCGCCTTTGACTGGACTTAACCGTCCAGGGGTCCTTTGTCTTTTTTTACCTTTTACATCTCACCATAGTGGGGAAGACTGGGCCCAGTGACCTTGACCACCTGACCAGTCTCCTTCTCCAGCTTGATGGGCCACTTTATCTTTTTTTATCTTCAAGGCCCCTCCTGCTCTTATAGTTCTTTATCTTTAAACCGGATTTAGACTGGATAGCCTTTCAAACAGAGGTCTGTCCTCCACAAAGTAGTATGACTGTATAGTAAACATGTACTAATCACAACTAGGAAAAATGACACTTACCACTGCAGTATTGATGTGCTTCAATTTTCTATTTAAGTATGACAAAACTTAGGATAAAATGAGAGCTCTTCACAAGTAATGAGAATATGAATTTAGAAGAATACAGCAGATGGAAGAGTGGTGTGTGGGCAAGTTTCTGGTTTCCGCAGCACAGTCTACATCTGCTCCTGATGATGTTAATAGGCTGATTTATTTCAGTTGCTAAAGTAAAGAACCCTAGTAAATTAAGTCAGATGAGTAGGTTCTTTCTTTTCCAGCTAAAAAGGCAGAATCCAGCAGCTGACCAGTGATGAAGAGGTGAATGTAAAAGGGACCTGGAAGGAGGAATGAAAAGGAGCAAGGCATAATGAGTTGAGTATGAAAGGGGAATGGGAGAAGGAATTACAAGAGATGGGTAAAAATATTTATGAGAGGCATGTGGAGGTTGGAATGGAAAAATATAAAAGAAAAAGCTTTCTGCACTTATGCCTCCAGATCAGCAAATTCTATCTACAATGCAGAGACTGAATCATGATAGTTTCAGAGCAAACAATTATGTCGAGTTGTTCATATAAATCAACCCTGAGAGCGGTGTGCTCTGGTAATTATTGAACTTCTCTTTCCATTAAGAGACTGCTTCTGAAGTTCCACTGAAATCTACCTAACTCAAGCCCATTAGAACTAATCCTGTGGAAGCAAAGGACAAGCCATTTCCCTCTTATAATCAAGGGCCCTTCAATTATTTGATGAATGCCATCGTGACCCCACTCAGTTTTCCATTCTCCAAGCTACATGTTTGTTGTTGCTTCAACCTTTTCCTGCAGTTCATGAACTGACAGCTCAACAGATGCAGCTGCAGCATCCTAACAACATTTTCTGTGGCAAAGTTAGAGAATATGCTGTCATGAACTCAAAAGAAAGCACTGTGTGTGCGCGTGTGTGTGCGCACTCACGCTTTCTTTAAAAATTTCTTCAGATTTTTAAAAATTAAAGCAAAAAATAAAGCAACAGTAAAGCAACCTAAAACAACTGGAGGAAACAACTCCAGTTGCTTAATGCCTATTGCAGTCATGCCCTCCACCGACAGCAGAACAAATTGGTGATGGTAAAGACTGGAGGAATTCTGTGGCAGGGGTGGCTTGGGCACACATAAGGGTTCTCACAATGAATGCCTTGAAGGGCCATAGGTTGCCCATCTTTATCACACATTAGAATGAGTGGCAAAAATAAAGAAAGAAAGAAAAGCACAGTTTCATCAGTACAGATGTCCACACAAAATCAGTGGCACAAAACTTACCTGGCTGCCTAATTTGGACATGGATCTCTCTCTGAACTAGTGAGGCTTTATTTTATTTATTAAATTTGTATACTGACCTTCATCTGTAGATCTCAGGGCGGTTCACAGCATAAAATGACTAGATAAAAAACTAAAATACATAATAAAAACAAGAGCAAAACAAATCAATAACTTCTCCCCCCCCCCCACTATCCCACAAAGACATTTAAAAGGATATAGGATGTTAGTTAGCCAAAGGCTTGGTTGAAGAGTTCCACCACCAAAAGCAGCAAGCCACCTATTCTCTCTTAAGAGGAGAGAATAAAACGCATACTTCAAGCTTCCCTTTCATCACTCCTAAACTGTACATAAATCAGACACTGAAGCAAATTCAAGTCTTTACACCAGGAAGACAAACTGTAAAAAAGATCACAGAGTACAGCGATTGTAATATCCTTCCCTGTTTATTAGCAGCTGCAGTCATGCTTTGAGTCTCAATATAGAAATACATTCCTGTCCCAGAAAACCATCTGAAAGGCTTGTTTACACATTTTTGTCTACTTGAAGAAGCCATGGTCCGATATGAAAAATACAGATATTTAGGTTACAAAACTATTAAAATAAATAAAAATTAAGTTTGCAAAACAATAATTACCATGTGGTTAGGGTAGATCAACGTGTCAGTGTCCACTTATCCCCAGTGTAAATATGACATATCGGCAAAAGTCAGAAAT